ATCACGATGCCGTGAAACCAATCTTCAAACATTTCGAAAAGTTGGTTAAGGCTTTGGAAAAACTTTGTGATGCTTCTGAAAACCTAGATACGAGAGGAGCAGCGGAGGTGTTCATGACAAACATCTGTAATTTCAATTTCCTTTGCTTTTTGCATTTGAGGAATTGCTAAAGATGCAGGTTTAACTCCACAGGAAGAATTGAAGCGTGCTATGTTCGAGTGCATTGACCACTTTCATGTAGAATTAGAAAAACGTTTGACCTCGATGAACACTGTGTATGAAAAGTTTGTTGTTGTACACACAGGTAATTTTTTGAAGGCAACTGATGAAGAAATTGTTACCTATGCCCATCAGTTTTCAGAAACTTTCAATGATGTAGAGGAGGAAGAAATGCTGTCTGAAGTAAAGAGGCTGAGAAGGCATCTGAAGGCTTCTGGCATCAAATTAGACATTGCAGCTGCATGGACATCCTTGAAAATGCTTCAGTTTATCATCGAAATGGACCTTCGTGAATTGTTCCCAAACGTGACTGAAGCTCTTAAACTGTTTCTAACTATATGTGTGTCCGTGGCTTCTTGTGAGAGGAGTTTTTTAAAATTGAAATTAATTAAAAACTTTGCTCTGCTCTGCAATGAGCCAGTCTCGTTTGACGAGTTTGGCCATAATATCAGTAGAAAACGAAATTGCAAAACATGTGAACTTTGATGAGTTAATCAAACGATTTGCAGAAGTCAAGGCTAGCGAGAAAGCATTTTAATGTGTTTCTAGAGGTAACTCTTTGCTGTAAATCTGTTGTTTTTTTTACTGTATACTGTACATCATTGTATTATCATTTAAAATAAATACTCAAAACTAATGTTATAGTCATTTGTGTACATGAATGAATTTCTATAAGTGATATAATGGCGTTAATGGATATATATATATATATATATAAACATATAAACTGATAGATAATGATAAAGATAGTATTTGCTAATTTTTTTTTATTACAAACGTATTCAAGAAAGTGGAGAAAGATATGTAGAGTAATATATACTACATACATTCATTAATGTAGTCTATATATATATATATATATATATATATATATATATATATATATATATATATATATATATATATATATATATATATATATATATATATATATATATATATATATATATATATATATATACATTCAAATCACTCCAGCTTCCGTTGCCAAAGTCGTATTTAGATTAAATGGATAGTGGTCCATACAATATTCTTATCATAGTCTCACAAAATTGTTCTCCAGAACTCTCTTCAATTCTCTCTTAAATTTTTAATAAGTGCGTGACTGAATGTTGATTTCCTGCATTTTCAAAAACTCTGGTGAAAATTCTGACTCCTCCAATTACCGTCCAATGAGTCTTCTTTCTGTTATTAGCAAGGTCTTTGAGTCTTCGATAAACAAATTTCTCACATCTTATTTTGAGTCAAATTTTGAGTCAAACTTTCAAAAAATTAATACGATTTTTGATCTTCTTGCTCTACGGCTGACTTGCTAACTGCTCTGATCTCACTTGCTAACTGCTCTGACTAAAAGATTTTATTGTGCATTAGATGGAGGCGGAGAGGTTAGGGTTATTACTTTTGAAAAGGTTTGGCATGCTGGTATTATCCATAGGCTTGTTACGGTGTATCTGGGAAAGTTTTTAAGATTATCAAATTGTTTCTTTCTAACCGCTTTATTAAAATCATCCTCAAAGACCAACACTTTGGGTTACCTCAAGGTTCTATCCTTTGTCCTGCTTTGTTTCTTATTTACATTAACAACATTACATTAAACCATTTCATCTAAAGTATCTCTTTTTGCTGATGACTCAGCTTTATACTCTGTTTTCTGTTAAACTTCATTGTTGTCATTAAAATAAAAGGACACAGTTTCACATAACGTAACATATTATATAACAAATAGTCGATTGAAACTTTCAATTTGAAAGTAAAGTAAAATAAGCTCAGTTTCAGTTATTTTTCTAAAATATTTTTGATCAGTTTCGTTTTGTATTTTAGAAATATTAAGCAAGCTGGCAAGAGTGAACTACAATGATCATTGAGGACCTCCCCAGCAAAACTGAATAAACGTTCTTATGGTACTTGTCTGTGACGCATTCAAATAAATGGATCAGCGTGTCTATTTATTTCTGGTTCTGCGAGATATTGGCTTAACTGAGTGTCAGGGTTCACTTCATAGTCTTTACACCTGCATCATTGCAGTATATTGTGTGTCTTCTCTTTAGAATTTTTTATTGAGTTGTTTTATAAAATTAGGCAAAGCAAATTAAATTGTAAAGAAATGTAAATACAGATACCAAAACAAACATGGAGTTCATAGAACATAGAATAACAAAAAACATTGATTTGTATAAATGAAATAATAAGTATACATGTAAACACTGGCAAAGAAGATGTAATAAATATCTGATCAAAATTCAGAAATCCAGCTAAGATTATGCCAAATTTGCTAACATTTTGCCGGAGCAGGATTTGGGCGAGATTTGTAAAAATTGCCGGATTTCGCCCGGAACAAGAGCTGGAGCCGAAGTCCGGTACAGCCCTAAAGCAAACATTTATCGCAGTACTGTCGTCATTTCTATATTAATGAATGGCAACCCTCTTACTGAGTCCTCTTTTTTATGTATTCTTGAATTATCGTTTACTGCTGTTCTTTCATGGAAACCATATATACAACTAATTGCTAAATTAGTATCTGCTAAGGTTGCTTCTCTTTATCGTCTCGTCATTGATCTCTCCTGATTCCATTCTCTACCTCTACAAATCTCTTATTCGTCTTTGAATGGAATGCTGTTGTTACATTTAGTCTGGTTCTTCTATTGATGCTCTTCTAGACAAAGTCCAAAAACGCATTGTAAACTTAGTCGGATCCACTCTATCTGCTAAGCTTGAGCCTCTTTCCTATCGTCGCAAAGTTGCATCTTTTTCTCTTTTCTACAAGTACTATCATGGTCGCTGTTCAAAGGAGCTATCATTTGTAGTTTCAACAACTAAAACTCAATCTCGTTCGACTCGTCAATTTGCAAAGTCTCATTCTTTTACTGTATCTGTCCCTGCATGCTCCAAAAACTTTTATTTGTCAAGTTTTTTTCCCCGCACGCTTTGGAACTCTTTCTCGTCTTCATGTTTTCGTGACATACAGCTTTAACTTTTTAAGCCTTCTGTCAACCTTTTTCCTGATAACTCTATTTTTTTTTTCTAGTAACCCCTATAATTCAGAATTAATCAAAAAAACACTAAACTTATTAAGTCTATAAATCTATATAGTATATATATATATATATATATATATATATATATATATATATATATATATATATATATATATATATATATATATATATATATATATATATATATTAGAGTAAGACAAAAAACACCAAAATCGATGAAAAAAAATACCATAATATTTTTTGTGTTTCCTTTTGATTTAGAGTAAAATGGGGTCAAATGGAACAGTTAAGGATTTTAATTATTAATTTTTTAAGGAAAAAAAAATTTTTTTATTTTTTTAAAGTTGTAGAGAGTATCGAGCTGTAATTAAATATATATAATTTTAACAATATTTTTGTAAAGTTTTTTATGAAATTTTATTTGATTAAATAATTTTTTACTCCATTTTACATTGACATTCGGGAAGAATGAAATACGCAAATATAAGTGTAATTAAACAACTAATAATTAAATTTTAAAAAAATAACAACAGTGTGATTATTGTAGTATATAATCATAATAAACATTTACTAATTTTTTATAAAACAAAAATAATATCACACAAAATAAACATGAATAAAATATTCAAAACAACACTTTATTAAAAAAACAAAAAGGCAATCAATAATAACAATTAAAAAAACAATCAATAATAACAATTAAAAAAATCAATCAAATAAAATAAACTTTTTTATTCTTGTGATGTTTAGCCGTTTAGAGGTACTAGAGGTTGAGTTGAGTTTTCACTTTTTGTAGCAATAAAACTCTTTTTACGTATCGCTTTGGTATGCATGTTTAACATAACCAAACCTTGCAATTTGAATTTTCACACTGGTACCATTCAATAATTTGACTTGCCGAAGTTTCGCCCAAAACTTTTCGGCACTTTTTACACTTGAATTGGTTTGCAGCTAATATTTTCGGTGGACTTGTTGTTTGGCTTATTTGCTGTTCTCCATTAGAGCTAAGCTTAGGTTGTTTTTTAGCTTGCTTTGCTGCTTTTTTGCTCTCAGCATTTTTCAACCTTTAAAGTATTTCCGGTTTGTTGAGACACTCCCCATCGAATCTTGACACATCTACATTTTTCTTTTTTGTGTGTCAACGTTTTGGATACGAAACATTTGTTGCAAAGCTGATCCAAATGATTAGGCTGATTGCAGTTGTTTTGCAACCTTTTTTTGAATTTCCTTTTGAATAGCCGGAGTTACTACAATATTGAAGGATGTTTGCAGACAAGTTGACTTTTGAGATGACTTTGGAGCTGATGCTATGTGACATATGCTGATGCTAGATGTTGTTGGTGTAGATTCAGAGGGCAGTGGCTGAGGTAGTGTAGTTTCTGGTGCTATATTTGGTGATAGCACTATATATAACACCAACATCTAGTGGCTGTAGAACCAATTAGAACTAGGATCAATAGAAAATTAAGGAACTTTTTCAAAAGATTTTAACGAAATTCATGTTAACGCTGATGAGCGGAATTGATCTAAAGACTCAAAAACGGTGTTTGTGTTTATTTGTCAAGTATGCATAACATGTATTTAGATGACCATTTTTATCATCTTTTGCAAAAAAAAAAAACAAAAACATAATCTAAAATCAGATATATTACAAAAATAACCTTAATGGTATTTTTGAAATATTTGTAAATGACTTTGCCCCCCTCTATATGTACAAAAACTAGAACTGTTTTGAAATTTCGGACTGCTGGGACCAACCATTAGAGTACCCATAAAAAATGTATATACTTTTTTGATACATATATCAGACAAAAAATTTATAATAAGTCGTGTAATATATATTAGTGAACAAATACGTAAAATTCCAACCAACGTTATTATGTTCAATCATGGGCGGCTTCAGGTAATAAGATAAAGTAAAAGAGGACGTCGTGAGTCTTATACTCACGGTTTTTGAACATGAGTTTAATTTAGTGAAACTTTTAATAAGATATTTAAAATAGAAATTTAATTTTATTATCGTTTTTAGTTAGGGAATAAAAAAGCAGGTGTAAAAAAAATAAGGAATAAGTGGTAAAACTTTTTAGAGAACCTCAAGCCGCCCCTTTGTACCCACACTATTTATATAAAATGAATACAATAGTTAAATGCGTGTATAAATCATTTAGTTAAAAAAAAATTCGAATAAATATAATATTTTACGCAAAATAATTTTTATTTTTAATCTCTTTTACAAGATTTAAAAACTGTTCATCCGACAAATTCATTAAAAAATTCAAATAAATTTATAAAAAAAGTTTAAAAGACATCACTTTGAAATTATATACCCCAATAAACTAAACTAATGCTGATCGGAACTATGCACAAAGAAATATAATAATATATAATGAATAAATTATCCTACAAGGTCATATATAAAATAGTAGAAACTTTAATAAATTATACAAGTCGAAGCAAAACTTTCCGACTTAGATCCATCTATTGCATACCAGTATCTAAAAAAAAATTAAAGATGATAAAAATTATCGCAATAAAAAATTTAACAAACTGTTTATTATTTATTACATACACACACGCAACACACACACATACACACTTAATGTATACATACTGACGTTGCAAATTCACTATAATAAAGTTGATTCACATTATTCTTAAATGTGAAGCGATAATAACCCATGGCTACTGATAAAATTCATTTACGCCACTGTATTTTATATGAATTTCAACGAAGTAGAAATGATACAAAGCTTGTAAATGTGTATTAAAAATATTTGGTGAAGGTACAGTTTCTGATAGGACACGGAGAAGGTGGTGCAAAAAATTTAATCATTACATTAAAACTTTTCTAGCCATCATGAAACATGAGAAGGTAGAACTAAAATGTCTTAAGTAGAAAATAGATAATCTTATTTCGCATATTTATTAGAGACTTAAAGAATACCTGGCAGTAACTAGATGAAAAAGTTTTAACTAAAAAGTGAATAAATACTGTGAAAAAAATAACAACAGTGTGATTATTGTAGTATATAATCATAATAAACAATTACTAATTTTTTATAAAACAAAAATAATATCACACAAAATAAACATGAATAAAATATTCAAAAATAATCAGTAAACAGTTTTATTTCATGATAAAAATTTTGTTTAAACGAACTGCTTATATCACAATGATATCATTAACTCTTAATAATTTTCTTTTTCTAATTATCTGATTAATTAGAACCTGAGTTAAGCAATGCTATTTATTTTTTACTTTTTCAGGTGTCATTTTACTACTTTTTCAGGTGTCACTTTGCTATTTTTTCAGGTGTCATTTTAATATTTCTTTAGGAGTCATTTTACTATTTCTTCAGTACGTCGTTTTATTACTTCTTCAGATGTTATTTTACAACTTCGTCAGGTGCTCTTTTACTATTTCTTCAGAAGTCATTTAATTTCTTCATGTGTCGTTTTATTACTTCTTCAGGTGTCGCTTTAATACTCCTTCAGATGTCGCTTGAGAAATTTTTCAGCAGTGCATTTATTTTCAATATTATAACCTCTACCTGCTATAATTGATGAATAATTAGGGAACTAATCATATCAGCCATAATCCCATATCAGATATTCTTTTAACGTATGCCTTTAAAATAAAATTTATGAAAGAACTACATGCAACTGTTACAAGTGATAAACCATATCGTGGTGCTTTTAATCAGACTTTGCAGACCATTATTGTACTTTGCAGCTCCAAACTTTTTAATGATTTAATAAAAATTTCAGAGCAAATATTGCTAATAGATAATGGTTATCCTTAAAACAATCAAGTTTTTGTGAACTCTTTTTTCTTCTGTAAACAAATAACTCCAAGTATTGTGACGTGCTTCTTATCCATGTTTTGAATATATTTGTAAAGACACTAAGAAAAACATTAAATTGATTAACCAGGTTATAGTTTAATTATTCAAAACCTAATTTCATCATAACAAGTTAAAACTCATCTTTACATAACTTTCTGCATGGGCTACAATTTCTCAATGTCTGCATTTAAAAATTCTTGTTGTTGAAATTGTCAATTTCCTGAAAAGAAGCATTACTGTTGGCTCTATATATCGGCATCCATCAATAAACCCTAATGAATTCATTACTAACCATCTTAATCTCTTATTTGAAAGGCTGAAAATAAATGTCCTAACGGGTTATTTCAATATGGACTTGATAAATTATAATGATTCAAAAGTTATTTTCAGTTATCTTGATACATTATGTTCTTATTCTTTTTTTCTTTCTATAATTCAACCTAAATGTATAAATACTACATCCAAGATACTCATTAATTTAAAATTATGTTAACTTTAAATTTCAAGACTTTTGATCTGATTTCAGGCAATCTTACAATATCAATTCAATTTCTGATCATTTGACACAGTCTAAATTACTTGTGCTCCTCCAAAAATAAGCAAAATAGTAGCTATCAAAGGAACCTTCCAAAATTTTGATAAACAAAAATTCATTCTGGATATTTCTAATGCATTCACATGGAAATTAAAAATTAATAATGTCAAGGAATCTTTAAACTTTTTTTTAAAAACTTTCAACAAAACTCTTGATCAAAACCATTTAAAAATTAACTCAAAAAAATCAACAAAACCTTGGGTCACCAGTCTTGGATCACCAACAAAACCTTGGGTCACCAGTCTTGGATCACCAACAAAACCTTGGGTCACCAGTCTTGGATCACCAACAAAACCTTGGGTCACCAGTCTTGGATCACCAACAAAACGTTGGGTCACCAGTCTTGGATCACCAACAAAACCTTGGGTCACCAGTCTTGGATCACCAACAAAACCTTGGGTCACCAGTCTTGGATCACCAACAAAACCTTGGGTCACCAGTCCTGGATCACCAACAAAACCTTGGATCACCAGTAAAAATTTTAAATCAACATCTACACCTTTTCAAGATGTAAATGAGAACATGAAAGTTGTAATTAAGAAGTCGTAATATGTAATTAAGAAACACAACATGTAATTGAGAAAACGTTATATGTAATTGAGAAACACAACATGTAAATAAGAAGTCGTAACATGTAATTAAGAAACACAACATGTAAATGAGAAAACGTAAGATATAATTGAGAAATCATAATATGTAATTGAGAAATCGTAACTTGTAATTGAGAACACATAAATTAAAATAGCAAATTCACAGTCTAAGTTTGTAGGTTGTTACAAAAGGTCTTTTTGGACATGAATTTAAGTTATAATCTTAAATTTTGCTTTTGTATGCACAAGTAATAATAATGGAATTGAAAGATCGTTGTGTTATATGCCAATACACTATGACCCGAAAGTCTGTGATTAAGCTAAATCCGTGTCAACATTTATGTCACCAAATTTGTTTACGTCCAGTTCTGGAACAACCAGATTCAAGTTGTCCGATTTGTCGGCATGAAATACACACAACTGAACAAGTTAAAAGGAAACGTTACGTTTTATCTTCTCCAAATGACAGGAGAAGAGTTGTTGAATGTGCAGAGCGATTTGAAGGTTGGGTGAATCTCGTGCAAACGCTAGGTATCAAATATAAGACAGCATACAATTGGGTTCGCAGCGGAAATTCAAATTTCATCGGAAAAGGAGGTTTTAAACCGAAAAAGTTGACCGAAGATCAAATCAAAGAAACATTAACATGGATTGAAAATGATTGTCAATTAACATTGGTGGCCATCAAAACAAAGATATTAAGACAATTTAACATAAACGTTAGCACAACAACAATAGCAAATTACCTCGAAGGCAGATTGTTCTCATTAAAAAAAGTGCACAAGGAGCCTTCTACAATGAACAGTTATGAAAACAAACAAAAAAGAGCTGAATATGTTAGAAACATCAACGAACATATCACAAATGGTCGTCAGATAGTTTGGTTGGATGAAACAAATTTTAACCTTTTTTGTAGAAAAACGCAAGGACGCGCGAGACAAGGAAAAAGAGCAATTATGAAAGTACCTGCTTCAAAAGGTTTAAACATACACTTGATCGCAGCTATTTCAACTACAAATGTCGTCATGATAGAAACTTGCAGGGGATCATTTAAAGCAGATTCCTGTAACGAGTGGATGTTGGCTATGTTTCACCAGTGGGTTACATCCGGGAATCGTTTGGAGGATTTGGCCGTCGTAACAGATAATGCTCCTTGTCACGCTCGTTTGCAAAGGGTGTTTGATAATTGCAAAGGGTGTTTGATAATTCACCAGCTCAGTTGTTACGTTTGGAACCTTACAGTCCAATGTTGAACCCGGTGGAAACGATCTGGTCCAAAATTAAAAGTAACGTTAAAAATGCAATTCGCATTCCACCTGTATTAGGTGACGGGATTGCGGAACAGCGCATGCAGTACTTAGAACGAATTGTAATTGAGGCGAAAAATACTATAATGGGAGGAGATTGTGCACGTGCGGTACAACACACAACCACGCACTATGCAACTATTTTAAATATGGAAGACGTACAAGTTGGTGCTTAAATGATCAATGAAGTGATTTTTCATTATATAATTTTTAATTATAATTTTTAATTGAATTATAAATTTTTCCCTAAAATGTTTTTAGTGTTTATTATGTTAAATTCATTTGCCCAAAAATTATAAATTTTTCCCAAAAAAATTAAATTTACGCTACAAATCTTGCGTCATTTTTAAGTGCGTCATTTTATACGCTCCATTTTTTTACGCGCCATTTTTTTTAAGCGCCATTTTACACTTACTCCTTTAAAGCGATATCTAATTTAAAATTTTCGTGTTCTCAATTACATCTTTCTATTTCTTAATTACAACTTACATTTTCTCAATTACATGTTACGATTCTTAATTACAATTTTCGTTTTCTAAATTACATCTTATGTTTCTTAATTACAACTTACGTTTTCTCAATTACATCTTACGTTTCTTAATTACAACTTTTGTTTTCTCAATTACATCTTACGATTCTTAATTACAACTTTTGTTTTCTCAATTACATCTTGAAAAGGTGTAGTGTAACGAGGGGCAAAATGAGACACTTAAGCGCTAATACATCTAATACGGCCAGTCTAACAACTTTAAAAATAAATTGATATTTTTCAATTCTTCTACGATCCTACTTGAAGCCTAAAAAGTATGAGTTGCAAAACTGCAGTAGTTTGGTCACCAGAGATCATTTATTGACAGCACCTATCCTGTCTCATTTTGCCCCGCATACCGGGGCAAAATGAGACAGATTTTTTTTTTAGTAATTTAAATAAATAAAGTTTAAAAAAAAAGATCTTTAAGAGGATTAGCAAGAAGTTCATTTTATAATATATTACAGCTATAATCAAACTGTCACTAGTTACATAAATCACATATTGCTTGACCAGTATTTTGAAATGAACAACAGTCCGAATGAGCCCAGGTTGTGCATTATGAAAACTGACTCCACTTATATATATATATATATATATATATATATATATATATATATATATATATATATATATATATATATATATATATATATATATATATATATATATATATATATATCCACTACAAGAACTAATAAAACCATACATGCATATATTAAACTTTTGTATTTAAAGCACGCATAACATTCATTGTATTTTGTTTATACGTACTGCAATAACCTATATGTTATAATCTACTCACTATATATTTTATATACTACTTACTTTATTACATTACAATACAATAAGATTATAAAATACAAACATAGTAATTACAAACATCAGGCAATTATTTGCTTCAATTTGATTAAATATTTATTATATTTAAATATAAGTTAACAAAATATAAAACGTAATTCTATATTGGATAATAACTAAACATTTCAATTAACAAAATAAAAAGTAAGTAAATACAGTATAATAAATTTAAATCTACAGCATGTAAATATTAATATTTGCTTTGGTTGTTGTTTTAATGTAAAAAAATTAAATAAACATAATATTAGATATCGGCAAAAAAAAAATACAAACAGAATGTCTCGTTTTGCCCTGCATCATGTTGGCATCGAATAGCCTAGACTATTTTATTGAAGAAATAAAATACCAATGAATGGAAATGAAAGAAAAAGGCCTAAAGATTCTAATTAAAAAAAAACTTTAAATATAAAAAGCTTTTCCACTCAGTGAGATTAAAAAAGGCTAGGAAAAAATATAATAACAACTCTTAAAAATTCGTAATTTTCGCAAAGCCGAGGAATAAAATGATTCCCCTTTTACTCAACTTTTTTATTTCAAAGTGACTCAATATATTTTTCATGACACAAAATAGTTTTTTAACACAACTACACTTTTAAAAATTTTGCAAATAATAATTTGTAGGGCTAGCATTATGTTAAACGCGAAATGTCTCCTATTGCCCCGCTGTCTCATTTTGCCCCGCTGTCTCATTTTGCTCCTACTAAAAACAGACTATATAAAAAGTATATAAAAGCAAATAAACAAAACATTAAAACTCAAATTTTCAATAAATTTAAATGTTATAGAAACAAAATTAGCAATTATATGAAACTCTCCAAAAAATTACAATATATACAGTTTTTAACAATAACCTAAACAAATGTAAATAATACATAGAAAAGTACAAAATAAATTATAAGTATCAAACATTTTTTCTCTTACAGTAAACCTTTTAACTTCAAATTAAATATGATTTCAGACAGCAAAGCTCTATCAAACATATTTAATATTTACTTTGTAAATATTCAACAAACATTTTTAACAAAAATTGTTTTAATTTATTTTTTTTATAAAAAATCTGCCAAATAAAAAAAGTTTAGGTCCCAATAGCATTCCCACATTTCTTTTCATACTTGTTTAATATATTATCTCTATAGCTCTATACCTCTATGCAATATTCACAATATTCATAACTTCTGAAATTCACAAAATCATTGTGAATATCAAAAAATTTCACTATAAAAAAAAAAATTTTTTTACTGATGATTGATTGCTTGACTTTGCAATTTTTTATTCAGACAAAAAAAAAATTAACTTTTATAACTTTTTAATAGGATTTTCAAGTCATTAATGACAACAGTTTGAGTCTTGAGCTTGGAAGAATTCCTTAAGATCAGAAACTGAGTTGATATTATTTGCATCTCTATCTATGATTACTGGTCCTGGTTCAAGTATAAAGTTATTTAAATTTGAGCAAACATGGCAGTAGTGAGAGTTAGAAAATAATTAATTGTAAAACATTTAATGGACACCTAAGTGTAAAGGGTCCCAAAATAAAAAAATATATAATGGAGATTTGAAAAAGATGTATGATGTTTTCATGGGCTGCTTCTGAAAAGGGTTAAATTTTTCTTCTATGCCTTTACTCTATCCTTTATCTTTATAATTAAGTTTGAAGTGATATATAAATATTGTATTATTTCTAGTTTTATTATAACTTTTCTACCAAGCTAAGTAATTATAAATGGTCTGTTGTATTGATCTAAAAAAATGATTTTGTAAACAAATGTAATGAAATATAAAAAAATATGAATTAATAATTTTGAATAAAACAAATAATTTACCAAGAGCTGATTGATATCTATTCCATTGCGCTTTTTGCCTCTGTATACCATTAACCAAATTATGAGCAAGGCCTGTTGTTATCAACTAAATGGAATTTTTTTATAAATAAATTAATTTAAAATTTTAGAAGAATATGATTATTAATCAAAGAAAATATATGAACATAAACATATTTAAATTTTAATCTAACATTTAATTTTGTAACACATATGTTCCTGTTAGGATGTATCATCCTTTCATAGATTAAATTTATAACAGACCTGAAATAAACATGTTCCTTTAGTGCAAAGCAGTTATTGCATAAAGAATAATAAAAAAATATTTCAACATGAAAAAAAAATCATCATCTTCAAATTTACTTCTGCATTATTGCAATGTTTATATAAACTTTTATATCTCAGCAACATAGAATAACCATTCAGCACAGCCTTGAGTAATTTTGATTTTAAAGTTTAAATTTTGAATGTATGTTTACCTGTAGCAGTACCATAGCTCCAGCAACACATATAAGAAGCACAAGATTGTCTTCATTCAAAAAGTAATTAATTACTGAATCAACACAGCCGTCAGTATAAATAACAGCTTGTCTCTCTGAAGTCTAAAAAGTAAATAAAAATAACTTTAAATTACTTTAATTGCATTTAAATAAAAGACAATGTTAAGCAATTATACAACTGATCAATAAAGTAAAAATTCACACAAAAAAAACTCACAGAGAGACTTCTCACTTTGTATCCACATTGTGTATTCATATTCTATTGGTAACCAATCAAAAAAAAAGTTCAATAAAAATTTAGATAAAGTAAATAAAGCAAAGGAGAAAAAAAAAGAGTAATATTAAGAAGGTTACATTTTTACAACACGAGAATGGTACGCCTCCAGCTTCAGGTGATGCTTTCGTTGAATGATTAAAGTAAATATTTAGTTCCCAATCATCTGGACCTTGGATACCACAACATTTAACCTTTTAAAAAATATAAATTTTGTTTTAAAATACTTTTATATAATTTTTCTATTTGCACCGCAAACAAATACCAGTGTGTCATATAGCCAAAGGAATATCCTGAAGTTTTCCAGGGGTTTTAATAATTTGCTTCACTAAACAATAAAAGCAAGCTAAACATTCCAAAAAAATTTTCTGAACATTATAAAACAATAACAAAATTTAGGAAAAGTTATTGGAATAAATACAGACATTTTAAAATGGCTGATCTTTTTCCATGCTTGCTTTAAGCAACAAAAAAAACCTTCACAATGAGCTAGCAAAAAAAAGCTCTCACAATATATAAAGTAAAATAAATAGCTAAACATTGTTTTTTAGGTTGCATTGTAGAAGCATAAAATAGGTAAACAAAAAAAAGTTAAACAAAAACAACCATTTCGTTTTTTTAAACTGACGCTCAAGGAAAAATCAAGTGAGAATGAATTTTAATTGATAGAACTAGAGATGATAGTTCATTTGAGCAGCGATTACGATAGTACTTGTAGAAAAAAAGAAAAAGATGCAGCCTAGATAATGGGACAGTGGCTAAAGTTTCACAGAAAGAACAGGTCTAACTAAATTTACAATACTTTTTTGGAATTTGTCTAGAAGTGAAAGGTGCAAATAAAAATTGATGTACTAGTGTAGTTAGCAAAAAATGATTATTTAGTGGTGCTTCATGGCCTTGATTTGATTGGTCCATAAAAATAAAAATAAAAGTTTTTTAAAAGTATTTCATCTCAAGTAAAAAGAAATTATATACAAATCTCAAAAATAATAATCATTTTATAAAATAAATTTTTTTAGATGATATTGCATAAAAACTGTTGTTTTTTAATATTTAAAAAAAAAGTTGTTTTAAACTTTTTTTTAAAGAATTTTTTTCATAAAATATTATTTTAATTTTTAAAACATTTATAAAATTTCACTTTATTTGAGGTTGACATACTTACATAAAAATTTATTTTATTAAAGACTAATCGAATTTTTTAAGACCATGCTGCAACAATAAATACTACATTATTATATTAATCGGAGCATAAATAAGAAGTGTCTCAGGAATTTACTGAAAATAAGGATACAGAAGAAAAATATTTGTAGGGGTTAAGAATGGAATCAGAAGTGAGAAAATGATAAGGATGATAAAGACAAACAACCTTGGCAGGTGCTAACTTTGCAATCAACTGTGTATATTTAACCTTTCAGTTACAAGATTTAACAAGTCAGCCTAGAACAAGAAGATCAAAATCCGTATTGATTGTTAGAGATTAAGCTATGAAACTCAAGATGAAATGTTAAAAATTATTTGATTAGAGACGCAAAGACCTAGCTAATAATAGAAAAAAGACTGATTAAAATATAATTGGAGGAGTCAGAGTGTTTTCCAGATGAAAATAATATCTGAAATTCCAATTTAAAAATTGGAATTACAGATGTTATTTTCAACCAGGCAGGAAAACAATCAACCAAATTTTAAATAGTTTAGAGAAAATTGAAGAAATCTCTAGAGAGTTTTGTAAGACTATGACAGGAATGTTGTCTGGACCATAAGCCATGTAAGAGTTTAACTAAGAATTGGCTTTAGCAACGGAAGCCAGAGTGATTTGGATGTCTAACAATTAACTAACCTATTTAACTGGAAGAGAAGAAAGAGTGTGGGCATTTAATTTGAGGGACAAATTAAAGGAAAAGCTAATTGCAAGTAGTTCTGCTTTATCCTTTAGAGAGATAATAAGATAAAACCCATGAATTACAGATGGAGTGTTAGGCTTACATTTGTTTGAATTACACTGTTGAAGTTTCTCTTAAGTCTGAAATAAGTTACAAGATTTAGTAAACTGAGAATATTACATTTACAAAATGTAATATTCTCATTCAATGATAAATTTTTTTGGTGTGATGCTGTGTAATGTCTCATGAACCAAAATGAGAAAACAAAATACTAATAATATAAACCATATGAAAAAAGATGTAATATTGAAGCAAAACTAGAACGCTTAATTTAAAATAAACTATTCACCTGATTTCAACATAATCACAGAAGGATACAAGTAAATAAACAATTTTTTTGTTCTTTTAATATGCAAAGAAAAAGACTGTTTTTTGACCTTATTATTTTAAAACATCAAGAAATACAGTTTCTCTCAATACTAATTTCTTTATTATAGCTGATAATACTGGTATCCAGTATCCATAACAATGCATAACCATGCAGCAAAAATTTCTTAAATAATAAAATTATTAGTATTATGAGAAACTGTATTTTTTTGATGTTTTAAAATAATATATAATATATTCTCAAACACAGGCTTAGACAGGAATGGTGTGCGATTGCACGCTGTAACTGACTACACTTATAACTTTTTTTTTTACAATTTGACCACAGCGGTTTTGATGTTTTACCAATTTAAAAAATATAAAAAAAATTGATACATTATGAATAACTTTTAATTAATGACCTACTAAAATTAATTATAGTGATTGTTTAAAATAAACGGATTTGTGTAAATTAACAAATAATATAATATTTAAATTTTTTGTATATAGGCATGTATTTTTTATGATAAATTTAAATACTTAAAACTATTTTTCCATGTCTTTCTAAAAATCTTTTAAAACAAATTTTTTAAGTTACTTTAAATTATGAAAAAGTTAAATTACATTTTCCACTGCAATGGTATGATTTAATTGCTTTATTTTTTTAAATAGATACATCTAAAATATATATGTAGTTGAAAAATGTAAAATACCCACATTTTCTTGAGTCCAGTCAATTATTGATTGAAGGTCAACATCATCACGATAATTTATAACTGTATTTTTAAGCATGCTTTCAATATTTCTTTTTACCTTAAAGTTAAAACACAATTCTTTAAAATATTTTTTTCACTTTAAATACACATAAAATGTTTTTTTTTTAAAAAAAATTTAAATTATAAACATATTATATTTATACCCTGTTGCGATCAGCGTAGACATAAATAACTGCTATCACTTCCAATAACAACAGTATATCGATTGTGTATTCAAACTGCAATGAGGAAATTAAAAAAACATATAAATAAAATATAACAAATGCTAATTATGTTTTGAAACCTTAACTTTTTTAACACTAGCGTTAGAAATAATGTTGAAATACGATTTTCACATTATTACTTCTAACAAATTTACTTTATAGTAGGGATGAACCAGAATTCCATTCTAGCCAAAATTGTCAGAATTTGTAACTTTTAGGTCATTCCGGTTCTAGCCAGAATTACAATATTTCAGGCCGGAATGCCGGAATTTATTTTTTTAAGATATTTGACACAGACTGTAAAATAAATTAAAAAACATTGCCCTACAGGGCAATGAAGAACTATAGGTAAACCTAGGTAAAAAATATTAAATTCTTACTAACACAATGAAATTTTATTTGCAGTAATCAATTACAGAGCTTGAATTAAACGTATTGCGATTGTCTTTCACACATTCGTAACTAATACTTTCTTAAAAAAATATTTTGGCAAATTGTTTGTTTGTTTGTTAATTTATCATGGTTTTTTTTGTTAATTTTTTTTTCTTTTTTAATTTAGCTTTTTGTTTTGGCCATTCTTAAAAGTAATGTTTTTGTCTAAGTTTTTCATTAAGTGTCATAAAGTACATCAGATTTTATTCAACAGCTTTTGAACTTAAACCACTTTAAATTTCTGCGTGGAAGCTAATATTGTTTTAAAATTATATTTAGTTTGATATAGTGAGTGGATAAAGTACATCACAGTAAAATTATCTTTAAACTAAATCAAACAACCAGTTAAGTTACTGCAGTAGCTTACAGTTACTCAACTTTTAAATTTACTTAATATACTATTACTGCAAGGCGGTGTCAGGGATTAAGGGGGGGATACCTAAAAAAAAATTTCTTCTTCGCAATTAGATTTTTTTTTTGTTAATTTGAGCCCTGAATTATGTAAGGTTATAATATTTATAACCTTACATAAGAAGTTTATGAATATTGTGGTGCAAAAAGAGTTTGCATCCAGATTTGGGCAACAAAAAGCTCTTTTTTCATCAAAAATGTTACCTGCCTCTGAGAATAGCCTCATTTTAAATGTAACTTAAATTTTAAACAATTAAAAAGTATAGGATGCTTAATGTAGTAATTATTTCAATTTTAACCTAAATGGAAAAATAAAAAACAAATAAACAATTTTAAATATAAATATTATGTAGATTAAATCTTTCAACAAATAAAATTATAAGAAACAAATAAATATAACATATTAGATTTAAATGAAACAAGAATCAAGTTAATGAAATATCAATGATATATTATATAAATATTGTATACAATGATACAATAAAAAAAATACAATAAAAATACAATAAAAAATAAATAAATAAACTAGATGTCTAACTTTGATTCGCAAAGTGAAACTACTTCTGCTTTTTTTACAAATGCCTGATTAAATTTGAAAACAAATATGATTTATTTTTTCTTTTCTTAAATGAAGTAAATATGTTCTAAATATAAATACTATTTATGTAAAAGTGTTAATAGGAAATTAGAATACTTGTAAAATAATAATTTATGATTTCAAAATTCATTTTTGATTAGAAAAGGATTAAAGTTTTGAATGGAAAAGTGAAATGACAGATGCTTTTGAAGCATTTTGTGAATTATAATACCTTTTAATAAAAATACTCATAAAAAAACTTTTATAACTATTATATAACTATTAAAATGTGTTTTTGAATTATATTTTATTAGGGAACTTTTGACTTGCATTTTCAACTTTTATTTGACACATCGGCTTCTGCTTTTGCCTTTTTTACAAATGGCGGACTATATTTATAAACAAAAAAAAGCGGCTTCATTAATCCCAATAAAATCCCACAAAGTTAGACATCTAGTTTATATAATACATCATAGGGTTAAATATATATTTAGGTTATAAATGTATATTATGCAGTCACGATGCTAAGGTAAAAAATTGCGTTAGTATATTTCTCGTTTTATCTGGAATTTTAATAAAAATTCTGGCAATTTCGGTTCAGGCCGGAATTCAAAATTTCCAATTAGGTGCACCCCTATTTTATAGATTATAAGATAACAGTGAGTAAAATAAACTAATTATAGCATAACAATAATCAATTAAATTACAAACAATATAAATTTAGACACTGTCAATGCTATTTTAGACACTGTCAATGCTATTATTTTTGATGATGTTTTTAATTCAGTCATTATAGATGTTTTCAACATTTTTATTTTAATTGTATACAGCAACATATTATTAAACAACTATTATCTGCTTATAAACCAGCATTTACTTATAAACACAATACATCCAAGTTTAAATTACTTGCATGATAGATAAACAAAACAAAAAGTTTTTGTGAACAATTTTTATCTATAAAAATTGCTATACTTATATGCTGAATAATAAAAGATTTATCTTTCTAGAAATGTATAAACATCATATAGACCTTTTTGTTAACATGTTTTTAGAAATAAATTTGTCAAAATATGGCTGGAATTTGGTCACTTTACATAAAAGAGGATCCCGACCAATTTTTGTATCGCTGAAGTAGTATGGGTGACCAAAAAAAAGCGCTCAAAAAAATTTATTGTTTTGTTTATTTTTATTTTGTTTTTTTAATAAAAATAGGAAAAAAAGTTTTGGCTTCAAATGCAGTAGCAAATAACTATTTTTCTGTTTATTTTACCAAGTTCATTTTTTCTTCAGGACAATAAGATGAATAAAAAAGGAATTACATGCTGTAACTTGCTTAGCGTTTACAACTATTGTTTAATTACTAAAAGAACATTAGATTAAAAAAAAAATGTTTATGAAACTCAATTTAAATACAAACAAATGTTTGAAAAATTTATTTGAAAGATAGAACGATCTTAAAATACTCATAGAGTTAAATGTCTGTATAGTTAAATGTTAATTGTTTTTAATAATAAATAAACAAAAGTCTCTAAACCTATCATTCACTAATATTTGGGGTATATATATGGGTAATATTTTGACTAATATTTCGAAGTAACTTTTCTTCTGTTGAGATTTACTTCTTGCAAAGTTCACTAGACCTGCGTGCTCTTTGTGAGACTAATTTGAGTTTGGCTGTCTTATCTTGTGATCTTAGAATTGATGGTTATCTTCCTTTAATTCGTAAAGACTCCAATTGTCACATGCTTGGTCTGGATATTTACATTACGTAAGAATTCACCCATTTGTCAGGAAACTAGGTTTGAATCCACAGACTATTCTTTTATGTACTTTTGTTTAGCACCACTTTACTCTATCGCCTTTCTCTTTGTTCTATATCTCTCTCCTTCATCTCAAGACTGCACTCTTTTTGATGTTACTTCTGATCATATTGACTTAGCCCTCTCTCTTTATATATCAGCTAATATTGTTGTTGTCGGTGACTTTAATGCTCATCACACTGAATGGCTTGGCTTTAGTGTCAGTGACTCTGCAAGCATTAAAGTTCATAACTTTTGCTTTTCTCAAACCCTTACTCAAATAGCCAACTTTCCAACTTGCTTTCCAGACAACCCGAATTATTTACCTTCTCTACTCGACATATATTTTGTTTCTGATCCTAGTCAGTGCTCAGTTTTTCCACATTCACCTTTAGGTGCTTCTGATCACAGTTTGATCTCTCTAAAACTATCATCTTATTCTTCTTTATCATCTGAATCCGCCTATCATTGTACCTCTTACAACTACCTTAAAGCTGACTGGGACTCTTTCCGTGATTTTCTTTGTGATGACCCTTGGGTAGAAACTTTCTGTCGACAAATGTGCTTCTTACACAACTTTGTGGGTTCAGGCTGGGATGGAATCTTTTATTCCCTCTCAAAAATTCCAGGTCAATCCTCATTCTTCTCCATGGTTTTCCTCCCATTGTACTGCTGCAATTGCCAATCGAAACCATTACTTTCATATCTATGGGCAAAACAATTCTTCAAAAAACAGACGTTTGTTTATTACTGCTAAAAACCATTGTAAAAAGGTTTTGTCTAACGCCAAAGCCCACTATTCTCAAGTCACGAAATCTTGTATTTCATCACAAAAATTAGGCTCTCGTGACTTCTAAAGAATCTTTAATAGTATCAATAATAAGGGCAAGTCTGTAATTCCACCTCTCTTGTATGGTTCAGATATTGTCACCTCACCTAAAGACAAAGCTGAATTGTTTGCTAAGAACTTTTCATCAATATCATCTCTTGATTCCACTAGTTGCGTTCTACCCAGGCTTGGTCAGGAAGGCGTGCAATTGCACACCATTATATGACCACCCAAATAATACTTCATTTCAAAGATTTGACCACGGTTTTTAAAATGCACTGAAAAAAATAACTTTTAATTACGTCAAAAATAAATAACTTTGAAACAACTATCTTTACTGACGTTTTTATATTAGCAAAATGCTTTCAAATAAAATAACAGTTACTGATAGCTTTTCAATTTAAAGTATAGATTAAAGTTGTATAAATTTTTATTTATAATATTTATATATATTAAAGATTATATAATTAATAAATAAAACAATATATAAGAATTTTTTAAAATTAATCTTATTTATTTTTAAATTATTTACATTTTATAAGCAACGACTTTAAACAAGGGTTGTCTATTTAATAAACTTTATTTAAGAATCATTAAAGTTAATACACTCGAAAAGATTTTGTTGAGAAGAAAAAAAGACAAACTTTTGAATTAAAGACAGCCGTTTGAATTAAACTTTGATCTTTACTAATGTTTTTATATTATTAAAACGCTTTTAAATAAAGTAACGATTCCCTGCTAATGATTATTTTTACATTAAAGTATTAATGTATTTTTCTTTCGTCTTTAAATAAAAAAAATTAATTTATTAACAAATTAAATCAAATTATAAATAAAGGAATAGTTTTGTTCATTATTTTTCGTTTTCATCTTCACTTTTCCTCATTTGCGTTCTGATATAGGATTTCTGACAAAAGAAAAGATTTAATTATTTTACTTTTGTTTACATTACTACGAAGAATTGAAATAAAATAGTTTCCTTTTTAAGTTTATTTGTTTTTTTTTTTTAAATACCACTAATGCGTGATCAAGTTTTTTTTAAAAAAAAGGTGTGTATTTACATATTTTTGTCGATTAGTACTATTTATTATTATTATTTTTTTTACTATTAATATAATGTTATATAGTGCTGTAACAAAGCAGACGAGACACTACTATTTTTACATTATAAAAACTTTAGTAAAGATTCAAAGTTATTTATTTTAAAAATAATTATCTTAGTGTTTATTATTTATTTTAGTTAAGTTTTGTTTTTATTATTTTTTATTTTTGCTTTAATTATTTATTACTAGGCTATTTTTATTTTATTTTTTATCATTTTTTTAAGATTTTTTTTCTTTTTTTAAAATAAGTTTGTTTTTTTAGTTTCTTTATAACTAAGTTAAGTTTTCAGCACTTTATTAAAATGTTAAAACTGTGGTCAAATTATCAAAACAAAATATTATTTGTGTGGTCATATAAAGCTGTGAAATCGCATGCCTTCCTGACCAAGCCTGGTTCTACCTGATATAGCTGTCAAACAGGTTTATCCATTGCTTGTTATTCACTCCAGCTTCTGAATCTATGTGATTTCCTGCTTAGACGCTTCTACTATTTGTGGCCTGGACAACATACCTGTTATAGTCTTGCAGAAGTATTATTTGGAGCTGTCGTCTATACTTTCAAAACTATTCAACAAGTGCTTATCAGAGTCTTGTTTTCCAGACTGCTGGAAAGCGGCATCTGTTATCCCTATTTTCAAAAATTCTGGAGAGCAATCTGTTTTATCTAACTACCATCCCATTAGTCTCCTTCCTATCATAAGGAAGATTTCTGAACCTTTAATTAACAAACACTTATCTCTTAAGTGTTTGTTTATTAAAGATAAACTTGAATCTAATAAATTACTTTCTGATCATCAATATGGATTTCGATCTTCTTGTTTTATGGGTGATTTGCCAAGAGTAATAACTGATAGGTTTTATCTTGCAATAGATAAAGGTAGAGAGGTTAAGGCCATCACTCTTGACATTTCTAAAGCTTTAGATAAAGTTTGGCATGCTGGTCTTATCTATAAGCTTTCTTCTTACGGTGTATCTGGTAACATCTTTAAGATTATTAAAACCTTCTTTTTCAATCGTAGTTTAAAAGTTGTCCTCAATGGACAGCCCTCTTTTTCTTATTCTGTAACTTCAGGGGTTCCTCAAGGTTCAATCCTTGCCCCTATACTCTTTTTAATTTACATTAACAATCTTCCAGATATTCTCACATTTAAGGTGGCATTGTTTGTTGACAATACTACCCTTTATTCTTGTCATGATAAGAAGCCAACACTCTCTGATTGCTTGGATAGAGCATTTGAGCTTGAAAAGGTTCACAATTCTAATATAGCATGGAGCTCACAGTGGCTGATGAACTTTAATTCAGATAAAAGTCAATTTTTTTCAGCCAATTGTTATCGCAATAATTTAGGTTACATCTTTTTATCAAGCTCAACACTTTCTAACTCCGGATTCTATTCTCTATCTCTATAAATCTCAAATCCGGCCTTGTATGGAATACTATTGCCATATCTGGGGAGGATCTTCTAATGATGTTCTTTCTTTTTTAGACAAGGTGCAAAAATGTATTTTAAACTTAGATGGACCTGCTCTTGCAGCCAACTTCCAAACATTATCACATCATCATAATGTTGCTTCTCTTTCTCTTTTTTACAAATATTATAATGGGCACTGCTCTAAAGAGCTAGCATATCTTGTACCATCTACTAAAATTTATTCTTGTGTTACTTGTCATTCAATTAAGTCTCATCCTTTTTCTGTGAATGTTCCTAAGTGCTCCAAAAACTCTTATTCCTCTATTTTTTTTCCTTGAACATCAGTTCTTTGGAATTTGCTTCCTTCATCTTGATTTCCTGATTCATATAATTTGCAATCCTTTAAGTCCTCAGTCAATCATTATCTTGCTTTACAATCTTCATCTTTTCTCTTCAAGTAACTTCCAACTCTATTTAGTGTTTGCTTGCAGCCTTGTTGGAAATGAAAATATTAAAAAAAAAAAGTAAAAGTTTTTTAATAACAAAATAGTAATCACGCAAATTTAATTTTTGAATGAATGAACTTTTGATCTTTAACTTGCTACTTATTTTACTTTCTATCTCTCTTCATATTCTTTTGGATTTTAATAATAATAAAAATAACAATTAAAATAACTTTTAGTTTTATTAAGTTTTTTTATTTCAAGTTTTATTATTTCAAACATTTCATAACTACTAAAATTAAAATTACTAAAATATAATTTTTTACTAAAATACTTTGAATATTTTTCAATAAATATTTATAAATAGTCTAGTATTTGCAACTTAAAAGTTTATTAAATGTCCACTGCTAAATAATATATTTAAATAAATGCCTTTTTTAACAAGATACTATTATACAGGGGAGAGTGGTGTACCTCAAAGGTATTTACAAACTTTTACAAGTATAAAAAAAAATAATTTCAATATGTTCTGTAACAATATATTTTCTTTAACTTGATTTTATTAGTTACTCTAGGATTTTTTATTAAACATCCAGACAAATTTTTAAATTCCTTTTTATAATTTAAAGAAAAAGCTTACACTACAGCCAAGGTATACTACTGGTGGTGTACCTGGAGGTATATGTGTTGTACCTTGGAGGTATTATTGTTTTAACAGATTAAGTACTCAACATGGTAGAAAGTCGATATGTTTACTTATAGGATACTCAATATATCCTATAAGTAAACATATCTATAGGATAATCTCAAATAGTATCCTATAAGTAAAAATTAGACTGCTATCTTAAATGAGGCTGATGTGAATCAGCCTCATTTAAGAAAATATTAATCTAACTAGTTAGATTTATATAAACTATATATTAATTTATATTTATGTTGAATTTATGTATGACTATAAATTTAAACTAAATTATGCTTAGACATGTAAAAAACTTACAAAAGAAATAAAGTTGATTAAGAAAAGAGAAATAATTAATATCTACTTTAAAGTTTAGTAGTATTAAGTCTTTAACTTTGATTTAGCATTTTCTACTCTACACTCAGGTAATCAAAGTTAATGTCAAACTATAGTTTTTCCAGCTGTAGTGCTGGACATCTTTTCAACACTTTTTAATAGTTTTTAGCAAACTCTTATTCTAATATGACATTTCAGCCTTCTTGCAGAGGCTCCTACGGCTGTATCTGTTCCACTAAAGTTACTGGTTTTTGAGTCTGGTTGCAAATGATAAATGTTAATGTAACAAGTATATATAATGCAAAAAAATTCTTTTGAAATACTAAATTTAATAGCAAACACCTTAAAAAAACGAAAATAAAAACACATTATTTAAATTATTAGAAAATCATTAGAATTAAAAAATAAATATTTAAATTATTAACTGTTTTTTTCTATTTAGATTTATTCTTTTCTATTTTGTTAGTTTCGCTTTCTTTGTTTTTGAAACTTAGTTTTTTCTGCAAAGTATTAAAACGCTTAATATAATAAAACTTGCAAACAGCTGCGATCATTTTGCTTAAATTTAAAAAAAAAAAAAAATGGACAAATGAGACCAAAAACTGCACACGACTCCTGGGAAAACCTGATATTTATATATATATATATATATATATATATATATATATATATATATATATATATATATATATATATATATATATATATATATATATATATATATATATATATATATATATATATATATACTCTTGCATGTCTCTTGCATAGCATCAAAAAATGTTTCCCATAAACTGTAGTTTTAAAGAGCGCGTTGATAAACCAGACCAGAAAAAGTTTTGAAAATTAAATTTTTTTTTTTAATTGATAGACTGCCTGGCCAAACCAAAAAGAGACTTTTTTTACATTAAACGACTCTTTCGACTACACTATAAAGATATATATATATATATATATATATATATATATATATATATATATATATATATAAATTTAATAAAATTAACAATATTATTAAAAAAAAAAAAAATCAAAACTTACTGTTTTTAAAATAGCAATATTTTCTCTCAAAGAACCAATACAACCCAGAAAAGCAAGAACAAATACAACAGATCCCATAATAATAAAAAGATTTGCAGGATCCATGAACCATGGTAATTTGCTACCTAGATTTCCAAGATTTTTTTCATTTTTTGCATATATGCCAACACCTAATGTTAATCCACCAACAATCTATAAAAAATACCTTAAACTAATAATAATAAATTTTAAAAAAAACATACATATATGCAACCTGTAAAAAAGTCAGTCTGTAAAAATATGTAACACAGTAGGTTTGCTCATTTAGCAAGGGCTAAGCTAAAAAAAATGTAAATTTAGAAAATGCGAGGAAAATGAAGGTTAGACATTTTCTGTAAGAGATATCTATAGAAAAATCTTCAAATTATCTCAAAAACTACTCTATATAAATTGAAAAATTTTGCATATTATTTTAAAAACTACTATCTATAAACTTTCTTGAAAAAATACAGATATTTATATAAATAATATAAAATCTTACAAACTAACCCAAAATAAAAGGTTTAAAGCAAACAAAAGATACTTGACAACAAGGCTGACTTCAGAATCTCTTGACCCTTGTCTTTGAAGTGGACTATGTGATGCAACCATTTTTATTAGAAGCTAAATAATAGGTATAAAAATTGAAAAAATTAACTTCTTTTTTCATAATAAAAGTATTTTATATCTAGATAGTCCATATCGATTATCTAAAACAAAACTTTTAGTCAAATATATGCTCTAAAGACCCCACAGATAACTACTTTAGATGATGTTACCAATGATGCTTTCTACAAAACTAGACACACAATGGTATTTGTACAGTGCAGGCCTTATTAAGAAGCATTATGTGGTTCATATATTTTTTCTTTTTGTTTTTAAAATATTTTTTATCTAATTTATTTTATTAAATTTAAATTAAATTTATTATTAAATATAATTAAATTTAAATTTATTCTATTAAATTTAAATTTAACTTTTTCAAAAATTCAAAACAATCGGTTTTACAATTTTTTTTTTGATTTTAAAATTTCTGAACTATGCTTAAGAAAAGAAACTTCTTTTTATCAAACTTAATTTAAGTTACTTTTTTATGTTTGTTTTATATTCTACTATTTTGTTTATTTATTTATACTTTCAAATCAATAAATTTCTTTCATCCTACTAGGAAAGTGCTATATACAAAAGTGCTTAATGTACTTTTGTATGTAATGTTGTAATTTTGAAATTTTGTAATTAAAGATTTATTAAAGCCAAATGTAAAAACAGCTTTGTTGATTGATTTGTTGAGTTTTTTTCTTTTTAGATCATTAAGAAATTTACCCATAAAATTAAAATGTGAGAAAGCCAACTTAAGACAGTAATGTTGTGTGTTATGAATGTTTTAAAAAACAAATAGTATAAGATTAAATAAATATAAGTTTATTCAAATTAGATTTTTTTTTTCAAACAACATTTAAATTTTATTGATAATTTTTTTTATAATAATATAAAAAACTAAAGATAATTTATAAACATTTTGTAAAGATAAAGACTTAAAATGACTTATAATGTGGTCTCAAGTTATTATTTAAATATAAATACAAATAACTTTGCAGACTTAGCTGTGCATGAAACATCACTGATGATGTCTTACTACACAAGCAGCGGTATTCAATGCACATTTCAGTATGTACTGAATAAGTCATCTATGGTGGATTTAAATACATACATCATCTGAGGGTTGCATTTAAACAGGTAGTCTACATAAAGAATTTTGTATGGAATAATGCAATGTACAAAAATGCCAGTCTTATTCTGAAAATATATTATAAATGTTTGTATGTATATATTATAAATGTTTATATATATATATATATATATATATATATATATATATATATATATATATATATATATATATATATATATATATATATATATATATATATATATATATATATATATATATATATATATATATATATATATATATATATATATATATATATATATATATATATATATATATATATATATATATATATATATATATATATTACACAGTTACCAAAATCTATTTGCATAAGCATAAAATATATGAGAAAAAATGTTCAAGAAAAAAAAAACTTCAAAAAAAAAGTAGTTAAATATTATTTACTTAAAAGCATATATTTTAAGATTATAATAAATTTTCATTTCTTTTATTCAGTTTTTATTTTATTCTGATAAAAAATAATTTTGTTTGCTTACACAAATAAAAAAATATATTTATAATTTTTTTTCTTTGCTATCAAATAACCATAAAACAATCAATACAATTTTTTTAATAACAAAATAATAACAACTAACCTTTATCAATTAAATTATATTTGGGTTTGTTATAATTACAATTTATCATGTCGATATATTATGACATCACATTCTCTACTCCAACTTATGACACTTATGACGGTAGCTAAGGTGACGATTATTTTATCAAAAATAAGTATTTTTGTAAGCGGTTTAGATTGAATAGCAACATCTAATGGATAAATAAAATAAAAATTGGTAAAGCGCATGCAAAAATAGTAAAAATTATTATTTTGCTTTATAAACAACAAAAGCCTTATTCAAAGTATTCGACGAGCTGAATAGCTGAATAGCTGCTTTTTCTGTGGTTTTCAAAACTGATTTTTAAAATATACTGCAAAAAACTATTGCTTTTCTAAAAATCATTCATTATTTATACAATGAGGGCTTAAATTTTTTGTTTATAAATTTTGTAGATGCTATAAAATAAAATATGGCATACTTATCTCAAAATTGTTTTTTTTTTTTTTCTATTTTCGTTTTTTTTTAGTTTTTCTAAACATCTTTTAATTTTATCAAGCAGTCAAAGGGTTAAAGCAAATAATACCATTAGGAAATATACTTCCTTGCGGCTACAATACTTAGCCAACTGCAATGAGGTTATTTTTGGTTTGTTTTTTGTTATTTAGACATCGTTATTAGTATTTTGTATAACAATAAAATGTTAAAATATGACATTATATTCGATTAAATACTATTTTTATTGTTTTATTATGATATTCGATCCAGAAGTGTAAATGAAATGAAAAGGATAAAAAATAAGAAGAAATTTTTATTGCTTTTGCATTTTGTTGTTTCCGCATTGTTTGTAACTTTGTTTAGTTGCGTTTCTGTTCTGTTCGTCACTTATGCGATTGCCCAGTTGAATTAAAGTTTTCTGCTTCTTTTTTTTTTTTTTCTACTTATGTTTATAATGTTTTTGCTATACTTTATTTTCTACTTTTACAATGAGTTTAACAATGGGAATTATTGTTATGAAGCATTGTTATTGTTATGTCGCAAAATTATTATTAAACAGTGTTCAGACTACCAGAAAAAAGAGGAAGAGATGTGATTGAGTTTTCTAGTAGCAATCAACATTGGTGTAATATTGGTATAATATTTATCTCAATGTTGTTAAAAATCATGCACCAATATAAAATGTCCGCATTTGTGTGTATATATATATATATATATATATATATATATATATATATATATATATATGTATATATATATATATATATATATATATATATATATATATATATATATATATATATATATATATATATATATATATATATATATATATATATATATATATGACTTTTGATAGTCGACTACTACTTAACAAAAAAAGTGAATTGGTTTCTGCTTGTAGGCATAGGAAAAAAATTTTAACATCTAACTTTGATTCCGGCTATTAGCAAATATCGGATCACGTATAATTGACGTCAGATGCCGTTGCAACGCTAAATTTGTATTTTTTATAACGGTTTTTATTTTTTATTTGAATAATATGGCTGATGATTGCCGAATGGCATGAAACTTTTAGTTTCATCATAAAATTGTATTTTTTTCATTTAAATTATTTTAATATATATATGTATATACATATATATATATATATATATATATATATATATATATATATATATATATATATATATATATATATATATATATATATATATATATATATATATATATGTATATATATATATATAAATATATATATTTATATATATATAAATAAATATATATATATATATATATATATATATATATATATATATATATATACATATATATATATTAAAATAATTTAAATGAAAAAAATACAAATTTATGATGGAACTAAAAGTTTCATGCCATTTGGCAATCATGAGCCATATTATTCAAATATATATATATGTATATACATATATATATATATATATATATATTAGATAAAGATAATTTGAACATTTTTAAAAACAGTATCGATAATTATTTCGGTTTCTGAACACTAATTTTTGTAATCGGCTGTCATAGTCTTAATTCTACGTAATTAAGACTCTACACACCTCAAGTGTGTACAGCACCTTTTCTATTCTATTCTATTCTATTCTATATATATATATATATATATATATATATATATATATATATATATATATATATATATATATATATATATATATATATATATATATATATATATATATATATATATATATATATATATATATACATATATATATATATATATATACATATATATATATATATATATATATATATATATATATATATATATATATATATATATATATATATATATATATATATATATATATATATATATATATATATATATATATATATATATATATATATATATATAATCGTGATATCCGCGCGGATATCACGATTTACGGAACTGATTTTTATGCTAAAATTTTGGTTCTCGTTTTTTTAACTCTTTTTTTAGGCAGCGTGAGGCAGACGTAGTTTTGTTGAGTTTTTTTTTGAAACAGATATACACATAGATACATTTTGGAAAGAAGAAAAGCTAATCTTGCTTTATTTAAAAAATTTATGTATTGTTGTTACACTTTTTTGTTGATTATTTTGCTTCTGAATATTTGGTTGATGTTCTCACATGAATTTGTAGTAGAAGAAATGTTGATCCGGTTTTTTGTTTTATTTAGACAATTTTCTACATGTATTTTCTATGCACATGCCAAATTTCAACGAAAAATAATTGGTAGCAGATAGTTTAAAATGTGTTATATTATGTATACCACTTATTTTAGGTAGCTTTAGGCAAACGTTTTTTTGTGCGTTTCTTTTAAGAAACATGCATAAACATAAATTATTTTCATAAAGGAGAAAGATTGATCTAGATTTTTATATGACTTTTATGTATGGTTACCCAACATTTTTATGGATTATTTTGCTGACGATATTGCATGAAAATTTTGTCCCTGTTTTCACATTAACTTGTTGTCAAAGGAATGTTGATCCGGCTTTTTTTGTTAGTTTTCCTATATTTTACATGCATTTTCTTAGCACTTGCCAAAAATCAACGAAAAATAATTGGTAGCAGATAGTATACTTAGTGTTGAACTTTTGGAACATAATTTTGGTTTTTCTGTTGTTTTTTTCGTTAAGCTTAATACGATATGGGGGTTAGGGGAACCGACTATACAAAAAAAAAAAAAAAAATCCTAATATCGTATTATTTTGATTTTTATTATTATATTAAAATAAAAATGAATTCTGACAGAAGTTTTATTGAATATATAACAGATAGTAAGTTTAATTTTTTTTATAATGATATCAATAATAACTATTTCAAATCAAAAAATATTCATAAATCATTTATGAATATTTTTTGATTTAAAATTCTTTTTTATGTAACATATAATTTATCTGTTTTTATATGATATAAAACAGATTAGTTATTAATCTGTTTTTATATGTTACATAAAAAAGAAGATTAATGCTTCAATTTAAAACTTTGCTTTTGAATGTATTGTTAACTAATAGTATCTGTTGTCAATTTTATTATGACACAACATACAAATCAGATAATTCATTGGTTTATTCCTTGCAAAAGACTTGTTAGTAATTTTCAAATATAATAAAACTTTTTATCTTATTATCATCTTTTATTATTTTAGGATTGTATACTTCTTTATCTGTGGATTATTATTTAAATCATAATACAAGCATGCCTAATGTTTACATGTTGTTTAGATCCTGCTGCACATTATGAAGCCTTTTTGAGATATCGTAAGTATAAATCAAACATTTTATATATAACCATAACCAATATAACCTAATTAATATATAAACAAAGTGAATAACCATTCCTAATGTTAGCTTGTTGTTTATTAATATATTTTACATTTTCACTGTTAGTTTTCATTATGTTAATACAGTTGTTGCATCTTCCACAGAATTATGATTTCTTTCTTTTCATAGTGTTTTGTTGTAATTATACACTTTTTTTTGTTATTTTTAGTTCAATCTACCCAGCTTATTTAATTTATTTTTATTACTTTTTTATCTTTAGCAACATCTTCATCTGCAATGAGTAGTAAGTTTAGCAATTATTCATTTTTAATTTTTGCATTTCTTGACACTTCCAAATTTATTTTTTATTAAAACTTTTTAGCTCTAGTTCCATCCTCAATTGCATTGAGTGGTAAGCTTAAAAATATTTTTATTGCATCCTTCAAAAAACCTGTGCATGTATGTATGTATTTCGGATCAATTGCAATATTTCTTTTTTATTACACTTTTTTTTAACTTAGTTCCATCTACATCTGCAATAATTGGTATGTTTACAAACTTTCACTTTTCAATATGTTTGTGCATTTCTTGGCAATCACAATATTTATTTTTATTTCAACTTTGTTGACCTTTAGTTACATCTTCAGCTGCTACAAGTGGTAAGTTTATAAACTATTATTTTCTAATATGTGTATGCATAATATAGATGTATAAAAGTATTGTTTTTAATATGTGTATGCATATCTTATCAATAGCAAGTAAATTGTTATTTTATTTAGAAAAAATTTTACCTTTAGTCCCACAAGCCGTGGAGGAGGCCGTGGAGGAGGCCGTGGGCAAAGACGGAATGGTGGCGGCCTTGTCGTGAATGGTGGCATCCACTATTACTAGGCGCCACCATTCCTCTTTGTTTTTTTTTTAAATAAATATATAACATTATCAAGTTTGTTTTCCATTTTGTCCCAATTTTTACAATTATTAACATTTGATTTATTTATTTTAAATCTTTCACAAAATGATTTTAAAACGAAGCATTGACAGGTGTAATAGTTTGCAAGGGATCTACTTTGTATGTTTTCAATGTGATTAAAAGTTGTAGTGTAGAAAGTATTAAAGTTGTAACTATAAATAGTTATAGACTTTTTAATGCGTTTAGGATTTTTTGAGGTTTTGAGATTTTGAGGTTTTCTCATAGCCCATATTAAATGTAGTTTCAAATTTATATGTTTTGTTTAATTGAGTTGATAAATGTTAAATATCTTTTGCATACCTCATTACTATTCTTTATTTTGTTTTAGTTTATATACTGTTTTTTTGAGTTAAGAAATATTGTTTGATTTTAGGCCAGTTTAATTGTTTGATTTTAAACCAGTTTAACTTATGTTTACAGTTCCTAAATATTATATTTACGTAACCATTACTTGTTTGTAGAAGGTATGTATGAGATTTTTTTTTACATGTTTTATTATAATGTTATTAATAATTAACAAATTTATATATAATGTTTGTTTACTTTTCAAAAAATTTAATTAAAACTATGGTATATTAACTCTTTGTATATATATATATATATATATATATATATATATATATATATATATATATATATATATATATATATATATATATATATATTTAAGAATTATTGGTTCATAAAAAAGTGGAGCTATGTTTGCGGATGAAGTGAAACAAGATTGATTTTACATATGATGCCTATAGACGGCTCTGGCTTCCTTCACGTGGTGTCTATTGTTAAAAATGATTTATTTAGTTTCATTATTGGAATTTTAAATAATATCATTTACTAAAAGCCAAGACATAAATTTATATATTTTGTATTTTAAAACTTTTTAAAATATAAGTTTTAAAACTTTGGTTAATTTTTACGGTGGATACTCAAACTTGCATCTTGTAATGTGGTAAGATTAGTAAATTTATGTCTCTCTTTTTACACAATTTAAAGACATTTTTGAAATTTTTATTGACATTTTTTTAAAGTTTAAATAAGAGGAGGGGGGCGTTGGGTGTGGCACACACCCCTCTCCTCACTAACATGGTAAAATAATCTTGAATACTAATTTCTCTTTTTAAATAAACTCAGTTTAAAACCATTTTTCAAATATCTTTTAACATTTTTTTTTTAGGTTGGAGAAGGCTGAGAGGAAGGTAGGGGGTGCTAAGGGTGGCATCGTCCCGCCCCTAATTTCAATTTATGCACCACTTGTATATGCTGTTATGTAAAAAAATATAGTTTAAACTTTTTAACACAAAATATAATGTGTTAAAAAGTTATTTTTTAGGTTCAAATATTTATAAGATGGTAACATTTCACTACGAGGGTGTTAAAACGTAACAAAGACATCCACCCTTTAATCTAAAATATACCACTAATATTTGGAAATGTAATGGAAGCAAATATACTGTTAATATAATTTAACCAATATAATAAAAAGTGTCAAGCAAAATAACAACTTCAGAAAAAGTTTTTTATATTTCTAAAAAGATATTTAGCAAAATACTACAAAAAACACACTTCTATATTGATGATAATAATTGGATTGTTGGCAGGAAAATAAAAATGGCAGGCGTGTTTGAAAAGATAAATTATTGATTTAATAATCTTTGAATAATTAGAGAAGTCTCAGTAATTTCTTTTATAAATAAATATATACTATCAGAAAAAGAACTACTAATCTGAAATTAAATAAAAAATAGTTAACCTGAAAATATTAGAAAAATATCTTCAAAATAGACAAAAAAATTATTAACTTTTAAATTTAAAAGATAAAGTAGTTGCGAATTTAAATTATTACCATAGTTCTTATAGTTTGGAAGCTTAAAATCCAATCATTCAAAAGTTAAAACTCTAATTCATAACTTTAAAACTTGAAATTCTTAACTTTAAAACTTGGAAATCTATCATTTAAAAGTTGGCAATTATGGAAAATTACTTGGGTGATTGATGCAATTTATTGAACGAAAAGATTGAATCAGACAAGCAGAAAAGAAGCAAGAAAAAGTAGAGAAGCTAAAATGTCAAGAAGATTTTTTATTTTTTTTTTACTTGCTATCTCAGAGTATTTATTTGTTATTTGAAGCCTCTGACTTGCTTTTTTGAAAGTGTTTGCTTGTTAACTGTTTTCTTATTTCATTTATTTTTCTTTCTAATTTTCTTACTACTAAGTACTTTTTGTTCTGGATTATTATAAGTGTATTTATAATAAGTATACTTTACTAAATGTACCTTTATATTCACTTATCATTACTACTTCCATAATATTTTGGTATGTATGTTGGCATGATATTGTTGTTTATGTACTCAAATTACTTGTTTTACTTTTTTAAAGTACTGTTTATTGATTTTTTTTTTTACTATTCTAATTATTACTATATACTATTTGGTACTTTTTATTATAATTTTTATTGTATACTTAGTTGCTTATTTTTTTTTGTTATATATTATAGCCACTGCATCATGATCTCTCATCTCTTTGAATTTATTACTATTTTACATTAATGTTTACAAGCTTTATTTCATCTAACAAACTCTTTTTTTTTTTTCTTTTTTTTCTTTTTTTCTTCTAAAATCATATTTAATATAACCAAATTGTTTTACACTCTTAATATCTTATTATGCCATCTAAGAATATTCAGTTTGGTTCTCTTTCTGACCTTAAGCTTGACCAAACATTATTGGACAAGAATTCTAATTTACTATATTCTCTTGACGTTACATCAAGTCCACGAAATTCAATTTCAGATCTAAATAATTCCCAAGATTCAATTAGTTGTAAATACTATGATACTATGATTATGCACAAAATGTAAAGATATCAGTACTAAAAATGAACTGTTCTCTAAATTTAAATTTTATAGAAACAGAATCAGCAATCTACTAAAAAATAGTAAAAAATCCTATTACGCAACCTATTTTAGTAAAAACTTAAACAATATTAAGAATGCATGGAAAGGGATAAAAGAAATCATTAATATAAAACCTTCCTTCTATAATTCAACTCTCAATCTTAAATTGAAAGAAAATATTATCACAGATCAAACTACTGTATCGAATATGTTAAACAACTTTTTTGTTACTATCCAAAATAAACTTCAAAAAAAAATCATACCTTCAACATCCAAATTTACTGGCTATATCGACTCTCCAAATTCTAAATCGTTCTTTATTGATCCTATCACAGAGAATGAAATCTCTAATCTTATTAAAACCACCCTTAGAATTGGAAAAAGCTTTGGTCCTAATAGCCTTCCTTCATTCCTTCTTAAACTTATTCCAGACATAATTTCTAAACCTCTTAGTGTTATTATAAATAACTCATTTCAAAATGGTTTATTCCCGGATGCTTTTAAAGTTGTTTAAGTCATTCCAATATTTAAAAAAGGTTCAATATTGGATATGTGCAACTACCATCCTATATCTCTTCTTTCAAACCTAAGTAAACTCTTTGAAAAAACCATGTATAAGAGGCTCTATGCATTTTTAAATAAATTTAAATGTCTTTACAAACACCAGTATGGGTTTCATGCTAATCATTCCACAACCCACTCACTTATTAAAATTACCGAGTCTATTAGAAAAGCTCTTGACAATAAAAACTTTGCATGTGGTGTCTTTGTAGATCTACAAAAAGCTTTTGATACAGTAGATCATTCTATCCTACTCAAGAAATTAGAATATTATGGAATCAGAGGAATACCTCTTAAATGGTTTACTTCATATCTTCACAACAGATCTCAGTTTGTCTAAAAGCTTTTAATACAGTAGATCATTCTATCCTACTCAAGAAATTAGAATATTATGGAATCAGAGGAATACCTCTTAAATGGTTTACTTCATATCTTCACAACAGATCTCAGTTTGTCTAAAAACTTTTAATACAGTAGATCATTCTATCCTACTCAAGAAATTAGAATATTATGGAATCAGAGGAAAACCTCTTAAATGGTTTACTTCATATCTTCACAACAGATCTCAGTTTGTCTCAATAAAAACTTTGATTGATTTTTGATTGAAATTTGAGTAGGTTTTGAGTCATTAACTCAAAATCTACTCAAATAAGTTGTTCCAATGGTGTATCTCAAAGCTTAGTATTAGGACCACTACATTTTCTTCTCTATATTAATGACCTTAATAACTCAATTAAGTTTGCAACACCTTATCACTTGGCTGATGATACTAACTTGCTCATTATCAACAAATCTTTAAAAAAAATTAACAAATACATTAATCATGATCTTGCCAATTTAGTTCAGTGGCTTCGCTCAAATAAGCTTACTCTCAACTGTAACAAAACTGAACTGGTCATATTCAAATCTAATAAAACAAAAATCAATAAAAATTTAAACTTTAGATTAAGTGGCCAGAAAATCATTCCTGTAAAATATCTTGGAATTATAATCAATTCCAACCTATCGTTTGTGTCCAATATTAAAGACTTAGCCATAAAATTGAGCAGATCAAATGGAATGCTGGCAAAAATTCGCCATTATGTTAATCTGGAAACACTATTAAATATATATCATGCCATTTTTGGCTCACCTATGCGATATGCTTGTCAAATATGGACAGTTTTAAGGATATCACATCTTCAAAACAAAGCTTTAAAAATAATAAATTTTCAGAATTACAAATTCAATCCTAATGTGCTTTATCTTACTTCTAAGATCCTTAAAGGGATCCCTAAGTGCTATAAAGATATGATCTCATATGATAGAGCATTAAAAAAAAAATGTTTGATGTATATTATTTTTTCTAAAACGTAATAATGAACACACACTAACAAATTTAATTTTCAAAAAAACGCTTTTCTTCGATTAAAAAAAATGCGCCTTGTCCAAAGTTTATTGACTCTACTGCCTCAAAAAACTAACGTTAGTACGTCAAATTAAACAAAGTAGACAAAATGTCATTATTGCAAACTTATTAATTGGTAATTAAATTTAAAAGTAAAGTCGTTTTTTTTCAACTAACACATAATTACTTACAAGAATAAGTTTTGTAGCATTTTGTGAAAATATATTTGTATATTAAATTTTTTTTTATAATATTAATTTATATATTTGTGTTATAAGGGCAATTCCACGGCTATAAATGAATAGAAGTCAAATTTTAAACTCTTTTTAGTCAATTAAAAATAAATGAATATTGACTTAGACATATGAAAGTTTATTTAAAATATTTCCTTAGTAAAAAAATATATTTATTTCAGTAATTTTTATGGTTTCAAAAGTGACGGTTACTCTCATTTTTGCTTGATAAAAAAAATAATGATTGTAAAATGTTTTAGTTAAATTAACATTTATGTTAAATTGCTATATTTTTTTGGTTCAAATTGAAAAGGTTGACATTTTATTAGAAATTAAACTAAGACAGGGCTCGAATTTAACGCAAAAAAATCTAATCGCGAAAAATTTTTTTTTTTTTGCTCTCTCCCCTTATATAAATATATATATATATATATAATTTTTTTTTTTTTGCTCTCTCCCCTCTCTCTTATAGCTCTCTCCCCCCCCCTCCCCTCTCTCTTATAGCTCACGCCGATGTGCGGTAATGGGGGGAAAAAATTATCGTCAATAAATCAAAAAACATCGTCAAAAATTTAATAAAAAATTAGATATCACGTTTTTTATAATTTATTGTTTCTTGAATAAAGGACTAATAAAAGTTTAATTATAATTAAGTTTTTCATTTAAATGGTTGATGTTTTTATTTAATTTTTCTATTTCAAGTTTTCCAAAAAAAGATAAAACAAAAAAATTTGGTTTAATAAATCGAATTATAGTTCATGTTTAAAATAAGGCTTAAAAACGTTAAAGTAAAAAAATTTCTGGTTTTTATTAGCATTTTTATACTGTTTGAAAAAAAAAAAAACTAATAAAAAAGACTTAACTAATAATATATTAATTAATAATTATATATTAATTCTTTTTTATTAGTTTTTTTTTTCAAACAGTATAAAAATGCAAATAAAAGTCAGTAATTTTTTATGCTCTAACGTTTTTAAGCATTATTTTAAACATGAAGTTTTGATAAACAAAGATAAAAACCAACTTTTCAACTTTTCGCTTTAACGACCTTGTAAAAATTTTCCACCCAGAGATTTAATGTAATTTAAATTCAAAAATGTTTTACGTTGAAAGAAAATCTCCGCGCGAAAGAGCAAATTATCTATTCAGAATAAAAAATTTTGAGACGTTCTTTATGATAAAAACATTACTTTGAAGAATTGCTAAAAAAAATGCTAAGCTAGAAAAAAGTAATTAATCAACCAAAAAAAAAACGAGTCATGAAAAGATTTTTTTTTTTAAGAAAAAACTAATCGCAAAAGTGTGTGTAGCAATCGCGATCGCGATACGCTTAATACGAGCCCTGTAAGACTTTTTTTAAGTTCTAAACTATTTAAAACTATTACTTAATAACTTTTTTTTAACGACGTTATTCAACCGAATGCTATTATACTGTTTTTGCAAAACTAATTTAAAAAACTTGATTAAAGCTTAACTATTTAATCACGACTTTTTTTACTTGAAAATCGAAGTAGATATTCTAAAGTTGTTGTGACGTACTAACGGGTTAGCAGACGTTAACATAACTCCAAAGTCGATGTTTTCGCTTACCGTATTTTTTTTATTTTGCCGCATTAACAAGAAAAATTTTTGCTATTATATTTTGCCGCATCAATAAGTAAAACAAAAGT